AAAAAATAGAAAGAAAAGAAAATAGAAAGTAGAAAAATAGAAAGAAAAGAAAATAGAAAGTAGAAAAATAGAAAGAAAAGAAAATAGCAAGTAGAAAAATAGAAAGAAAAGAAAATAGAAAGTACAAGAATAGAAAGAAAGAAATAGAAAGAAAAACTTTCTAAATCAATCCTAGGAATATATACAATTCTATTTTTACACAACTACCAAATTTAGATCTGCACCAGTAACCCCACGTTTTCCAACAGAAGAGAACACACTTGGAGTCTCAGTCATGTGATCAAAGGCTCTAGAGTCAATAATCCAAGGAGAGGGTTTGGATGCCAGACAAGCTATACCTGAGTGGGCAAGGGTGGCTATAGTATGCTGTGAAGTAGCCTGGAGGAACCTCTCATACTCATCACGTGGTACACTCACAATCTCCTTCCCGGAAACAGATGTAGATGTGGAAGGTATTAGATCTACCTGTTGGTTATCACTGACATCAACCCCACCAGCTACTGCATGATTGGCCCATGTAGAAGGAGGGCCATGGAGATCATAACAGAAATTCACTGAATGYTCGTCCCTGCCACAATGGGTACACTTCCTTGTAGAGTTACTTTTTCCTTTACCACGGCCTCCCCCTAAGTCACGACCACCACCACGGCCAAATACAGAACCACTACGACCTCCTCGGGAGGCATGTCCTCCCCCTCTAGTACCACGTCCACCTCCTCTGCTATCACAAATGCTGATCTGTCAGACTGTGTGGGATTTTCTGTAGGTCCCAAAGAAATCCTACAAAGCTGTGCAAAAACTTCCTCAAGTGTAGGAAGAGTAGAGCCTCCCATATTTGGGCCCTAACTGGTTCATATTCTGATTTCAACCCCACTAAGAACCTAGTGACATCTAGTTGTTCCCTTTGTTGTTGYTGAACCTTAACATCTGGAGTGAGGGGATGATAKACATTGAGTTCATTTCTGAGGTTCTTCATACTGGCATAGTACTCTTCTAGGGTTTTATTCCCTTGTTGCAGATCGAAATACTCCTGATAGAGCTGATATACCCTTGTAGTGTTATCCTGCCCAGAATAAAGCTTCTTGGCATGTTCCCATATGTCCTTAGTTGTATCTAAGAACATAAAATTAGCACTTATTTTGGGTTCCATACTATTTCATAACCATGTCATGATTTGAGCATCTTCCTATTCCCAGTCATCAAACCCTAAAGAGTCAGCTGGTGGTTTATCTTCCTTCACATGCTTCACTTTCCTCTTTGCCTTGAGAAAAACTTCCACTAACTTGGCCCATGGTACATAGTTCTCACCATTAAGTTTAATTGAAGTCATCTGCAC